ATATATATATATACCAGATGTATTTACAGTTTAAAATTAAAAGTATATGTCATTAGTTTGAAATTAAAAGTATTATCACTGTACTATTACTACTATTAATGAATTAGAATATTAATATCTAAAATCACTAATTATGCAGTTAAGGCAAAATGTGTCAATACTATAATTAGTTCTGTGACAGATTATGTCAGTCCACCAAGTATGATATTATTCTATTAATATTAGTTGTAGTATTATTGAATTTTAATTTAAAATTAAAAGTACTATCACCATTCTTTAATTACTATTTTATATTTTAATAAAATAAAACATTAATGTGTAAAAGCACAATGGATCGTAGGGACAAAAGATGATTTCAATACTGTTGCAAGGAACATCACAAGTACTTTGACAGCTAATGTCTCAATACTTATAATAAAATTATGCATTTTGTTTATTGGTACTCATGATGGTACTTCTGATAGTACTAAAATGATCGTCTGTCTCTTCGAAATACATCATTTATGCCCTTATACATTGTTGTCATACTTTTTTAATACTGATGTATCTTTTGTTCTTAGGGTATTGCATAGTGTTTTTTTATTCTATTATAATTTCTATCAATCTTCCTGTTTTTGCTTCAATGTTTTTATTTAAAATTTTGTTAATAAATGATTTTTTTAAGTTTCATTTCTTAATTATTTTTTTACTTGATAAACTCTTTCCTAGATTTCGTTTTTTCTCAATTACAAATTTTAGATTTTTCTCACATTGCATATATTTCCAAACATAAGCTGAGAATTTTTAGAAAACTTTCAGAAGCTAAAGTGGGAGATTATTATCCGATCCACTAACGTTGAAAAATTCCAGGAGGGCATCGCCAAAAGAAATAGTACTTTTATCAAACATTAGTGATAATCAGTAAATATTCCAAAAGGTACATACAAATACATAAAATTATAGTTTAAAACAGAATGCTGAAACTATAGTTGGAAACAGAATATGAAAATTTAAAAAGAAACACATAAAAAATACAATTTGAAAAGCATACTATTATTTTTTTAATCTTCTAATTAGGAATTTGGAAGGTCCTTACTTTTATCCGCTGTGCAACTATTACTGTAAGAGAAGGGGTAAATTTTTTATTTCCCAGCATAGCATACTTTATCTTTCTTATGCCGACTACTTATACAAATTTTGAATTTTGTGTGACTTTACAAATTGAGTACTCATCAGCTTATACACATGTGTGCTTATATTCGGAAATATATGTTTCTTCTAAATTTCTCCTTTACATATTTCAATACTATTTTCCAGTTATATTAACTATGTTATTTTGTGGTCGTATTATAGGCAAATATTATTTTTCAGTTATACAGTTGACTTATACACAGGTATGCTTATATTCGGAAGTATATGTTTCTTCTAAATGTCTCCTTTACATATTTCAATACTATTTTCCAGTTATACTGTCAGCTTATACACGGGTGTGCTTAGATTCGGAAATATATGTTCTTCGAAATTTCTCATTTACATATTTCAATACTATTTTCCAGTTATTTTAACTATGTTATTTTGTGGTTGTATTATATGCAAATATTATTTTTCAGTTATGTATTCTATTCTGAATGGGATCGCCCAGCTAATATCAGCAGAGCTTATTTAGATGGATCTAATTTAATGGTGTTTAGAGGTGTCTTACTCGGATGGCCCAATGGCTTAGCAATCGATTATGAAAAGGACAGATTGTACTGGTGTGATGCACTCCTCGATCATATACAACATGCAGATTTGAACGGAGATGATGTGCAAACAATAAGCTCTCCTCGCATTAAACATCCTTTCTCTTTGGTTATTCATCATGGTATGTTAATAAAAATGGTTGCTTCTAAATGAAGCACCTTCTTCGATGTTGAAATTTAAAATGATTCTGCGTTTTGTCTATGAAGAAGGTGCTTTATTAAGGAAGTGAAATGGCTGTCTATTTATTTGTGTACTTGTTTTTACTGTATTCAGTGCTATTATTTTTTTGATATTTAAAATTTAACTTTTTATTATTTATTTTACAATTCTTAACTGTTAGAAAATCACTTTAGTTTTCATTTTATCACATAGCAACAATGCAGTATAAAAAGTTAGTAATAATTTTGTAAGTGACATTTACAAGTAATAAAATTTTAAAAAGATTGATCTTAATGGTTTGGCTATTAAACATGCTTTCTGAAAAAACATATTGGAAATGCTTATTTTACATTCTTACTACATTTTGTGCAAATGCATAAAAAATTGATATTGTAGATGTATGTGTGGTTTGTATAAAAAGAATAATTTATTTACTTTGACAGTTTATTTTCATTTGAAATGTCGATAGACATGGATACTAATTAGCCATAGAGTTAAGAAAGAAATCACTAAAAAAAGAAAATTCCAACTTAGTTTTTCTTTTTCTTTTGTAAATGCCAGAGAACACCCTTATTTATCAAAACATTTAGCATGCATCTCAGAAAAACTGGAAAGATCTGTTATTTTATAAAGGTACATTTTGAAAAAAAATTCAACCATAAGATTTGGCATAACTAACCGTTCAGAAATCACTTGCTGAAATTTGTTATTTTGGGGCATTGATATCTTGCTAAACCCTCACATTCTATTCTGTTCTATCACTTCACCTACAGATTCTATTTATCTGTACAGATTAACTATTTATCTAAAACACTACCGATAATATTTATTAAATTGAATATTGAAAGTATTTTACTTATCTTCCTCTTTCACCTTTAGACTATACTATAGTAAAAATCTTCTGCTTATAAAATATTGTTGATTTTGATTTTCTTACTTTAGCTTTAATATTTTTTTATGTTGCTAAAATGTTACAGAGAAATAAACACACAATAACATTTAAATTTTCTTGTTTGTCATTTACAGACATGCTGTATGTGACTGATTGGAGATTGGATGCAATATTAAGAATGCATAAAGAAACAGGAGTTGGTGAAGATATTGTTGCAACTGTTGAAGAAGGTAGTAGATTATATGGTATTAAAGTATTCAGCAAAGCAAATCAAAAGCTTGATAGTAAGTGTAACAAAATGTTCTCAATTGTGAAAATTCAGTTTAATATGATCATCTTCAACAGAAAATTTTATTTTCTCATTAGATCGTCATCCTTGTTTGCACAACAATGGCGGCTGCCAGAAATTCTGCTTTCCTGTGCCATCAAATTTCACTGAAATAGGTCTTCAGGTTCAGTGTGGATGTCCATATGGTGAGCGGTTATATAATGATAATAAAACTTGCCAAGCCGATCCGGATGCAGAACCACCTGTACAAGCTTGTCCCAATTCTTGGGACTTCACGTGTGACAATCAAAGGTGCATTCCTAAAACTTGGGTTTGTGATGGCGATGACGATTGCTTAGATAATTCTGATGAAATGCAAAATTGTTCCAGTAAGATACTTATTTGCATTGATTTTGTTATAAAGTTTTTGTTTCTCTTATGTGTGGAGCTCCACTTGTTTTTTTGTTTTTTTTTGTTTGTTTAAATACTAAGTAAATGTTCTCAAATAATTTGTTTGTTTTTATATCTTCTATTGAGTTTGATTCCTTCATTTATTGATTTATTTTTTTTATCAGAAAGCACCTGTGGATCTCGAGAATTCTCTTGCAGTAGTGGGCGTTGCATACCACAATCATTTAGATGTGATTCAGATAATGATTGCGGAGACTATTCTGATGAAATGGGTTGTGGTGAGTAACGTTTTTACATATATATTTCTGATGCTGTTAACTATGTATCAAATTATAAAAAACAGTTCACTTCAATGTACTGTACTTTAATGAAATTCATTAAATAAATTTTCAAACTTATGGTACTGTAAACTAAATGATGACTTACTAAAAAATATTTAGTAAATGTTAAATTATAGAGATTAGCAGTTTTAGTTTTCCTCCTATCTTTTTATTTATAAGTTGAAATTCTAGAATTTTCAGTTTTTCAAAATTTAATGATCTTTTTATCAAAATATTTGATCACCATTGAAAATGCGTAAAACATTTTACAATCAATTTTTTTAAATTTTTGTAATTTGAAACTTAAAACTATTAATTGTACAGATTAATTCTTTGTTCTATTAATGTATTTTCCAACTAGAACTCTGGTAATAACATGCATACTTGGCATGTCCATTACAGGTAATAATTTGAAAGATTTGGTTCTGGGCATACCTGACAAGAAAAAGAAGTTCCTATATTGTAATTTAAATAACAATTCATTAAAGCATTTTAATTTGTTAATTAACCTTTAGAAAGCCTTTAGAAAACCACATTTCCTAGCAATAATCCTTCATTTTTGCACTGTAGCAGCAAATAATTTCTTTTTCAGTTAATCTGCATTTCCCTAGATTTCCATGAAATTTCTTATCAGCATAATATAATCTCCTTATTTCTTTGATTTTTTTTCCAATGAGCCTGAATTAAATCTTTTAGCATGTTATCAGTTTACCCCAATCAAATTTTCATAAGACCATTTAAATAGAAACATATTTTGCTTTGGTTTAGCATGCACAATTGTAGAATTATCTGTGGATGCATTTAGAATTGTTTTAAAACTCATGTTTTATCACTATAATAATAATTTTACTTTTTTTTCAGTTAATGTCACTTGTGAAGCAACAGAGTTTCCTTGTGAGAATGGAAGATGTATTCCTAAGTCTTGGAAATGTGATTCTGAAAATGATTGTGGGGATGGTTCCGATGAAGGAGATTTTTGCAGTAAGTTTTCTGGTTGTTTTTCAAAATTTGGATGTGCTTGACAGCTGATTTATATTTACCTGAAATTCTTTTTGTAACATTATTAAATTGATATTTCTATTTTTTCCTCTAGCTGAAAAAACTTGTGCCTATTATCAATTCACTTGTCCAGGGTCAGGACACTGTATTCCCCAGAGTTGGGTGTGTGATGGTGACAACGATTGTTTTGATCAATCTGATGAGCAAAGCTGTCCTCCTATATCTTGCACTTCTTCACAATTTCAATGTGCTAATCAGAAACAATGTATTCACGAAAGTTATCATTGCGATGGAGTACCTGATTGCCAAGATAGCTCTGATGAACAAAATTGTCGTAAGTGCTAGTTTATCAAACGATCTTTAGTTTTAAATCCCCCCCCCGTAATTTAATGGACCTCTTTAGTTTTTAGTTTTTCCTCTTAATTTTACAGACCTCTTGAGTTCTAATTTTTTTTGAGTTTTTTTTTATTATGGTTTTTCTCCTTGTACCTTCCAGAATTTTTATTTCCTTCAATATCTGAAACTTAGTTTTGTAATTGTAATTAGTTTTTTTATTTACGATTTCATTGATTTTCTCTTTAATAAAAAAAAATAATTGCTTTGTCGATTCTCTGGTATTTACTTAATAAGGACAATTTGTGAGAACTTTTCTCTGCTATATACTGCTTGAATATATGGATTAGATTTTACATCAATGCGTGGATTAGATTTTTTTACTTTATTTACTTTATTTTAGAAATTAAATTGGAGCAAAAGCTTCAAGTTATTTTCCAGATAACATCTTTACATTATGTAAACTTTATTAACAATGCATAATGAGTTTCAATCTGATTTTAACTATGGACAATAAATAATTTCAGCATCAAGGGCACCTGATCAGTGTGACTCTGAAAAATCATTCCAGTGCCGAACGTCTCGTATATGTATTCCAAAGTCTTGGTATTGTGATGGCAATGCTGATTGTGAAGATGGAAGTGACGAACCAAGTTCTTGTGGTAATTTGAAATTCTATCGTTCATTAATTCGTTATTGTTAATTTTAATTTTTCTTAAAATTTATTTGAGATAAAATGCCCATGTTCAAAATTGTTTCCAACATCTGTTTATAAGTTTTCATAAAAAAACATATACATTAACTTTATTAATTAATTATGAAATTAACATTGATTAATCTAGTAACTTTAGTTAGTATCTTGTTTAAATCATTCTAATTTTAGTAACATTGATTAAATTTTTTTGCCATAAAGGTGAAGTGGAATGCCCACCAAATCATTTCAAATGCAACAACACCAGATGTATTTTTAAATCTTGGATATGTGATGGAGCTGATGATTGTGGGGATGGGTCAGATGAAGACCATCGACATGCATGTGGTAAAGATCAAAATTTAGTGATTAAGTATTTTATTGTGAAAAAAAATAATTAGGCCAAGCATTATCTTTTGATTAAATATCAAAGAAAAATATTTTTATTAACTTTGTTTTAAATTAGTAGCTTTTAAATTAATTTATTTGTTCAAATGAATAAAACCTATTGCTAGATTTTTTAATATTATTAGATTGTAGTTTTTGAATATTGTATTTTTCTCAGGACCTGCTCCGCAAGGTTGCCCTACCGAAGAATGGGCTTGTCCAGATGTTACAGGACGATGCATTCCTTTGACTAAAGTGTGTGATAAACATTCAGATTGTCCTGGTGACACAGATGAAGGTCCTGGTTGCAGTAAGTCTAGCTTTATATTTTTTAATGAATGAATATTGGATGTAAGATTTTTTTTTAATCCTTTTTTTTTCCTTTTTTTAAAAATATATTATTTTTGGTCTCTCATTTCAAATTTTTGCATAATTCTGAGGATGCTGCGGAATAATAATTTCACTCATATGAGTTTTATGTCATGCACTTTCTGCTGTTTAGAGGTATAGACTAATTATAGAGATTGTGTGCTGGTAATTAAGATTTTTCATTGTTGCATATTAGGAGGTCATTTATTAATTAATTTTTGAGAAGTCATATGCTGTGTTATTTGAACTGAAATTGCTTTGGTCGAGTTTGCTACTTCTTTCATATTTATATCAATAGTTTTATTATATTAATAGTTTTATTTATATTAACAGGTTTATTTTTATTAACAGTATAATCTTATTTAATTAATACTTTGTTATTGACATTTCATCATTTAAATATACTTTAAGTATTTTTCAAGTGCTATATTTTCTGATCTGTTTATTAATTAATAATAAATCTTACATTTTACAAACTTTCTTACAGTTTAAAAAAAAATCTGTATATTATTATTATATAGAATTTTATTTGATACTTTTTCTCCCGTAAAGTAGTATATAAAAATATTGTAGTTACTAAATTGGCTTTTCACGAAATAGTCATTTTTAAACACAATCTTTTAATTAATTTTTTTTTTATTTATTTAAAGTTCCTTTCTATTTTTTATGATACTTAAATATGCTTATTCTGTTTGATAGCTTTTGGTAAATTAAAAATAAATTCATATATAGAAAACTTTACTACATTTATGCGATATTAACATTTTGTTAAAGAGTATATAATTCTGTAATGAAAATTTATCTACTTTAAATAATACTATGATGTTCCCTTATAGCTATAGAAACATGTACCACAAAAAGTATGGGCTGCACTCACAATTGTTCTGAAACACCTTCTGGTCCAATTTGTACCTGTCCACTTGGAAAAGTTTTGAATGATACTAAAACTTGCATTGGTAAGTTTGTCCTCAACTAGGAATTTTTACATTTCTTTGTAATATTTAAATTTTTATATTGATTAAAAATGTCTCGAATAAGCAAAACATGCATAATAAATTAAATGCCAGTATAGAATGGTCAGTTGAGTTGTTTCTATGATGGAAAACTTCTCAATTGACGTGAACTTTCATTAATAACTTTCATTAAACTTTCATTTTTAACTCGTTAAAATATAAGTTTTATAGTTTTTATTATAAAGAACGTAAGCCAAAAAGGAGCTTTTAAATACATACCTGTCTGGCTGATCTTTCAGGAAATTTATTCTTTAATTATTTCATTCATAATTATTTTATTTGTTTATTGTAACTAAATCAATCACCTTTAAAAAAATCTAAAATTAAGTTTAAAGAAGCACTAGATGTACTAAAAATTGTTTTTATTAGGCATTGATAAACACATATTTACAATTTATTTCACTGTGGCAAAGAACTTGTAGCTCGCTAGTTCCGTTATTTTATGAAATAATAGAACCACATTCAACAAGTTCATAGTATTTAACCCTTTAACCCTTAACAGACCAACGTCGTCAAGCAGCATTGCACTTTTAATTATTGTGTTCAAAGGTGAAAATTTTGTGGTAAAAAATAATTTTATTTCAATCATTTTTATTTTTATTATATTTACAATTAATTTGAGTAAAATTAATTTAAGTAAGATGAATGAAATAATTATAATAAATTAATAAAGTTTCACCAAAAAAATTTTTTTTTTTTGTACTTGATATAAAAATACAACAGTTCCTCTTCAAACAATTGCTTGGACCTGGTGTAAAGTAGACCACTAAAACTTAATTAATTGAAATTAAAACTTTCAGACCATTAAAACTTTATGTTTATTGAAAAATTCGTACTATTGTTGTGTTTTAACTTAAGTATGCAATTAAATAATTATGGAGTGAAAAATCACATTGGTGCCTTGTTATTTAAAATGTATTAACATCAGTAGAAAAGACATCAACATATTATAAAGATATAATTTCCTACTTGTCTCTCTAAATACATTTAGTGATATTTTTTAATTTGTGTTTAATTCCAAATACATGCTTTTAGACTTTGATGAATGTGCTATTCCTGGTGCTTGCAGTCAGCAATGTATTAATACAAAAGGTTCCTATAAATGTTTATGTCAAGATGGCTATACACTTACAACTGATAGGCATATATGCAAAGCTACAAGTAAGTTTTGTGATGATTTTGTTTAAGATATTTTAAGTTAATTCCATATTTTTTAAATTTTATTTGTTTATTCTTATTGATATTTAATAATGTCTAAAGTTTTATTTGGTGATTCATCACTTTCCAATATTAGTATTTTGAATCAATATTGCATAAAAATTATTTTGATAAATCACACTAAATTGAGTATATGTTAATTCCCCTTTATGATTTTTGATTGAAAACTCTTTTCATAAGTGCAAGGTTTTGAAGTTTTATGCTTTTTTTATCTTCATAAAAATAGTTGAATTTTTGGGAAGTTAAACTAGTTGATAGATATATAATCAAAGGATATATATCTTGACAATACTGATTTCAAGTTTGAACAGTAACACTTCATTATTTGCTGTTAACTATTAAGAGTCTTTTGTGATTTTGGAGCTCAAACCAAACAGTTTAAGGCAGGAGCTGCAATTTATCATGCTTTCGTTTTTCTTTTGTGCACAGAGATGATTTGACTATTATTGAATATTTAAGATATAACTAGCATAAATATTTATCTCCTGCTTCAACATATATATACAAGGAACGGAATTTAATCAACTCATTGGTCACACATGTCATTTTATATCAAAGTTAAAAATCTAATTTGGAATCATATTAATGTTGCCTAATGAAACATCATGATTAATTAAGTATAATTCATATTTAAAGCATATATATAAATTTTAATAACCTTTTTTCATTTTTTGCCCACTTTCATGCCTGATAGTTGGATTTCTAATCGCAGATTTGAGTTTTCCTCCAAAATCATTCTACACTGCTCTTCACTTATCTAATAATTTAGTTATCTAATAACCTAGAAATTCTAATAATTTAGTTAATGGTTTTTCTAGCATCCCACAGTTTCGCAACCTTTGGAAGTCTATTCTAATTTAATCAATGGCACTCTGGTGTTTCTGCCAAATCTCCTAACACATATTTATTTCCCTTTTTTTATTATCTTGTTCAATATTGTTCCTTGGTCCCTAGCGGTGAAACCATTTTACACCTGTTTGTCTCTTTACTTCTCTACCATCTTTTGGCGTTAAGACACTGAAGAAGGTTCTTGTTCATGGCACTGTAAACTACAGTGTGTGGATTTCTGTGCTTTATTCATGTTTTTTTTTCTTCTTTAGTCTAGGTAGCAGAAAGTGTATCCTATCCTTTTTGGAAAATTTTTGATATTGTGTCTATAGGAATCATAATATTAAAATTCTCTTTTTAAAATGTTATGAATGTATGGTGCTGCAAACATTTACTATAATTATTATATCGAAATTTATTTCTTTAATGCGTTGTTTCTATTGAATAAAATAAATTTTTGTAACATATATGTTCAAATAGTTTATGTATCATGTTAAGAATACAATTGTATGTATGTATATATTTTTTAGACTGGACAAGTGCTTATTTAGTTATATCAAATCGCCGATCTATATTGGTTGCCAATTTAAATACAACAACTTTAGAACGAGTTCCAGTTAGAGTTGAGAATGTGGTTGCTACTGCATCTGAAATGTCAACTGGCACTATTTATTGGTCTGACATGGTTTTGAAAAAAGTCTTCCGCCTTGTGAAAGGAGGTGAACCAGAAATAGTATGCATTATTTTGACAATTTTTTATAATTTTGTTTTATTTGTTATTAAGTTAATAATATATTTCAAAGAAATTTTTCATACAGTATCATGATAAATTTACTAATTTAATGATAAATTCATGAGTGAATCTGATCAGCTAAAAAATTTGACGTTTCCATTGCCTAAAATTTTTACTAACTGTATGAAATATTAGTTTATAACTCATTCAATATATGTGTAATGTATATAAGTCTGTTTCATATTTACTATACTATACAATGCATTAACCCTTCCAATATAATGAATTTCTACTTTATTTCTTTTTAATTGTTTCAATAATTTTAAATAATGTGTTCTATTTACGAGCTTGCTATTGAAATTTTTTTCTTTATTAAAATGATTAATAAATTATTCCTTAAATGAAATTAAAAATAATTCTTCATTTGAAATTGGAATACCAATAAAGAGGAATATCAAAAAATTATCTGCCAGTAATGAAATTCTTTTAAATTCTGTTTTTAATAATGTATATTAAAATTTTGTGGTGATTTCTCCTTGTTCTACTTATATTTCTTTTCAATAATTTTAAATAATGCCTTGAATTTAATATTTTTTGAATTTATAATTTTTTAATAATTTAAAGAAAAAAACTTTAATTGTTCCCCTAAATACATTTTCTCCAAAAACAATAAATTTTCCCTAAATAAACGACTTGTTTCTAGTGTTACTAGGAGTATCCTGTTATGCTTTTTAGGTTCTATATAATAATTATGGTTGATTAACTCGGTTAAAATGTTTATATTGATATGACTTTGACATATGACAGTATTACTGCCACACTAATGAGAGTAAAATTTTTTCTGTTTATTTTTAAGATTTATTGTTTTTTGAACTAAATTATAAATATTTTGTTTTAGGTTGTTGGTAGTGGAGTGGATTTAGTGGAAGGCCTAGCTGTGGATTGGATTGGCAAAAATCTTTACTGGGTGGACTCTCGTCTCAAAACTTTAGATGTGTCCACTCTTAATGGAGAACATCATATTGTTTTATTAAATGAAAACATAAGCCAGCCACGAGGCTTATCCATTGATCCAAGTGAAAAGTAAAACTAAAATTTCTAGTTTTTTTAAATTTTTTTTAATAGATTTTACACATTTTATTTCATTAAAAAAAAATTATGAAAAAAGAAGGAAAAAAAAGAGGTGTAACTAAAATCAGCATGGAAAATATAATATTTCAGATACACAGACTGCTTGACTGCATTGTAGAATCATTTTATTAAATGATTCTTTATTGTCTTCTAATTTAAGTATACTTGTTTAAATCACTTAGCATTCAAATTACCTTTCAAAATAACTAGTTTAGTTTTTAATTTTTGCAAGAGGTACATGTTTAGAACCATTTTCTGTGTATTTGTAATCTTTTGAACAAAATATTTTGTTAAGGCATTTTTTGTGATATGAAATTATTATCCAATAACAGTTTGTATGCTGCACATTTTGAAAGCTAAATTTTATAAATTTTTTCAATGTGAATAACAAAAAGTTTCCCATACTTTAGGAACAGTAGTGTTAAACCAATTTTTGTAAATCAAAAACTGTATCAATATTTTTTTTGTTACAGTTTTTTTATGCTTTCAGTTGTTGATAATATCAATTTTTATTATGATTTTTTCAGAATATCAAAATTTTGATATAAAAGAAGCATTTTTAATCTCAAATTCTTTGTAAGAAAATTAGTTATTTTATTATATGTTGATTTTCACAGACTTACTTCAGACTTTAGAGAGAAGATCATTTTAATTCCATTGTTATTTTAGTTTTTTTTTTTTTTTTTAAATCTTCAATTTTGAAATCATTGCATTTCTAGTAACTCTAATAATCAAGTAATGATTACTACATGTAGAATATTCTAATTAAAGGGCTAGAATAATGTTTTGGACTGATTGGGGAGAAAACCCTAGAATCGAGAGCTGTGGAATGGATGGTACTTTAAGAAGAACTATTGTACACACAAAGATCTTTTGGCCAAATGGTTTAACTATAGACATTCCCACCAAACGAGTATATTTTGCTGACAGCAAGTTGGACTACATTGATTTCTGCAATTATGATGGGTCTGGACGGCAGCAAGTTTTAGCACGAAACCATGTAAGTTCACATAAAAATTCGTTTCTTTATTTAATATATTTTTTGCCACTTTTCCTTTTCCACAAATGCACAGATTTTCACTTTTTTTTGTTGCCTGATATCCATAATTATAAATTTTCAAATTGAAAAAATTTGGTTTGTTGATCTGACGTTTCTTCCTCATATTATACAGAAATAGTTGAAGTATTTTTTATATTCTATGTTGTTTTTGAATTTTTATAGCTCTTGAATAATATTATATATTTTTATCATAACATTTTCTAAAAGTGAATTGAGAGTCATATACTTATTTACTATTTTTTAAAGATGAAATGATGTCCTCTTTATTCAGTTTATTCAAGATGATTTTAATCCAATTAACAATTTAATGTACATAGAAAATTTTAAAATGGTAAATTAACGCATCATTCTCAAATTGATTTTAAAAAATAATAATTTATTTTTCAATTATCTTCATTTAAATCTTCAGATTGGTTCTTAGTACGAAATTATTTCAATTGAAATTCTAAGAAGTAATGGTATTTTGAAACAACCAGCGGAAGTATCATATTTAATAGAAATTAACTGAAAATATTCATAAAAAACCCTATTTTTATTCAATCAATGTAGTTGTGAAACTTGTTTCTGAAGTTTTGTTACTTATGCGAAGTTAAGCTTTTTTTTCAGGACTGTTGTGGCATGTAATTAAGTATATTTATTTCTAATTCATCCATATTTTTTATTTTATTTCAGTACCTACTTCATCCTCATTCATTAACCATTTTTGAAGACACTCTGTACTGGACAGATCGTCAGCTGAACAGAGTTTTATCATGCCATAAATATAAAGGTGTTAACCAGACAGTGGTATCTCATCTAGTCAGCCAGCCTCTTGGCATTCATGTTAGTCATCCCATTCTTCAGCCACTGTGTAAGTTTTAATTGAATCAGAATAAAATTTATACAATTTTAGGATATTTAAACCATGTAATGATATGATATATTTTTGATAGAAGATATATACTTTAAAATGCAATCATTAGACTAATTTGCATGGCCTTTAAATTTCTTAAGTTTTGGAAACAAAAAAAAACATAAATATTTTATTCTTCTCTTATCATTTATTTAATTGAAGTCCAAAATCTTGTCCATAATTTGCAACAAGTGTTTTAATTTAATTATCACTGTATAATATGATGTTACTTAATTACAAAAAAGAGAGAGAGACAGAATTCCAATATTTAAATCCAAGATTAAAGATTGTAAATTTGCTAACTGGTTTTAAGTACAATGATTATGATGTTTCATATTTCTTATTTCAGCTGCAAACCCTTGTGAAAATGCTACTTGCAGTCATTTATGTCTTTTATCACCTTCTCACTCAAATGGATACACTTGCAAATGCCCTCCAGGCTATGGCAGAGATACTAAAACAGCAGAAGGAAACTGTGTGCCAGGTAAATATATATATACATTTATTTAAAGGTTGAAATGAAATTCACAGCAGGAATTGCTTTGGTGGAAATAACAATGATTGTTTTTTGTTTTTTTTCTTCAAATAACCTAGTTACTTGAATTGTTGTCTCAAAAATTGGCTAATTTTTTTCAGTTAGCAGTACTTATTGTTAATGAACTAATTTTAAAGTTTGGTGCAAATAATTTACCTGGTTACCTAAGCAGAACTTAATGAATCGTACATTTCTACTTCTGTTTTTTTAATTAATTATTAAAATAGCAGGAAAATAAACAAAATATGTAAAATTGAATACACTTTTTATTTACGTATTCGAATAAAAACAAAAATTTGAATAAAAATAATTATAGTTGTGTAATTTTATGTTAATGCATCATTTGCATAGTTCATTTTATTATTAAAGCATTTTTCATTGAATTAATAAAGAATCACTTTTAAATTTCTTTAGGCTTCACACAATCAATGCTCTTGTTTTAGTATTTCATAGTTTTGCAACTGATGCATATAAAATGCATCTTTTGGTTTAAATTATGAGAAATCACATTCAAATTTCTTTAAACTTTCTCAAGCTTTTAAATCATTTTTATGTTAATTGTATTATCACTGCACTTCTTTATTGTATTTTCAAGTTGAAAGTTTCTTTTGTATTTACATTTAAGTTTAGTTTTATTGAAATATGTGTTTTTTTTTAAGTGGACAATCCATACTTGATGCTTATGAGATCTACTCAATTGGTTGATATGAGCTTAACTCCAGGTGATAAGACTACTGGTTATTTCACACCAATAATTGGAATTGAAAATGGCTTTGATTTTGATTATGACAAAAAAGAAGGCATTATTTATTATGTCCAGCTAGAAGAGGAAGATAAAGAAAATGTAAGTTAATTTTTGATTTTAAAAAAAAAATCTTATTTTTTCCAATACATTTAATGACTTCAGTTAATACAGAATTAAAATTTCCTATCATTTGTAAATTTTTTTAATTAGTGAATGGAGTCTACATTTGAAAAAAAAAATTTCTAAAATTACTTCTAATTAAATCATGTATATTTTCAATTACTTTCATTATCATGTTATACATTTAAATTAAGAGTAAATATTTACCATTTTATTTACTTATTTTTTCTTGTTGAAATTATTTTTAGGGTCAGAATATAGAATAAAATTCTGTAGTTGTGACAAAATTTTATGTTATATTTATGAAATACAACCTTACTTAAATCAGTTCTGTCTCATTTGAATTTTAAACACATTATCTGAACCACATTGTAAAATCTTTTTCATAACTTTACAAAAGTATAGCTTGCATAAAAGTTATTAAATGAGATGGAAATTATTCCTGTTCATTGGAAACTAATTTTCTAATTTGTATCACCAATATCCTTTTTTGTTAAAATATTTTATTTGTCATTTTTTTTTATTCATAGTACTTTCATAAAATGTAAATATATTCTGAAAAAAAAAATTTTTGATTGTTTTTCTTAATTGTTGAAATGTACATTTTTGTTTTTGATTAATTTTTGGGATCCAGTATTTGTCATATCCCATAAAATTCTTCTTTTTTAAATTTGTTAAATGCAAATTTAGAAGAAAAAAAGTTTTAGAATTGAAAACATTAATTTAAAAGCATGTACTGCGAAATAATATTTATAAACCTTACATGGCATATATATATTTTTTAAAAAAATGTCTAAAAAGGACTTTCTGTTCATATTTCTAAATAGCATTAATATTTAATATTGTTTGTATGATATTTTTAATCGATATACATTTTCTTTATTATCATTGAAACAGAAAAAATGAGGAATTTACTTATATTTTTGCAATGCAAATCTTTACTACCTGAAGATTAAAAATGTATATTATGGATTATACAATACTTCATTCTTTACCATTTTAGTCTGTCATTTTACCTTATATTTTAAGGATATCTTGTGTATTTGAATTGACTTATACATATGTTCATACATAAATTTAAACTGGTTACAGTTTGTCTAATATTTATATACAGTTTGTCAAATACAGTTTGTCAAATATTTATGAGAATATTTTTGTTTTAGGGTACAATATTTAAAGTGTCTCTAAGTGGTGGAAACCAAACAAAATTTCTTGCTGATGGTTTTGTGGGAGCTCCCTACATTCTTGCTTTTGATTGGATTGGCAGAAACTTGTATGTAGGAAATAGAAAAGCCTCCAATTTTGAAGTGGTCAAAGTAAGTTTTTTATGCATTTTTTCATTAAATGTTATTGAAATAAATACAATGTAAAGTAAATGTTTAACTTACTCATATTGACTTATTGAACTTAATGAATTTCATATGTGTTATTAAGTTGTAATTAATGAATTAATGATTTTCCTTGAATTACAATTTTTCAAAGATTTAATTAATAATTCAATTATAATTATTGAATTAATACTCAATCAATTGTTATTGCTTTTTAATTATTCATAAAATAATTGTTTTTAAATTTTTATTTAATAACTATTATTAAATTGTAATAATCGAATTATAATTGTTTAGTTATTAATTGCTATTGAATTAGAATTATTTTCTTAATAATTGTTATTAATTACTCATTATTATTGAATTATAATTTTTAACTTAATAATTTTCATGACTAAATGAAAATTTGCAATTGTATATTGTTTTATCTTACAGGTAGATAAAGAACAAGAATACAGAAGAGTAATATTAAGTAATGATGGAACAGAGCTTGGTGTTGCCAGGCCAAAGTCAATGGTATTGGATCCTGAAGCTGGGTGTGTATTTAAAACAATATTTATGATAAAAGTATTCATAATCACAACGTTCAAACACACGGACAAGATCGTCACGGAACAAGATAATCATGGGACAAGATCGGTTCCATGACTTGACCCTTCTCTCCTCCTCCTCTTCTCAGTTATATAGGAATGTACTACAATATTTCCCCCTTCCTTGATATTTTTCATATTAAATTGTCTCAAATATTTTTTTTAATTTTCACAATGCTTTCTTTTGGAATTATGTTCAATGCAGTTTTCAGTTCCATATAGTTTCATAACTTGAAAGTTTTTAATCTATTTGAAAATCAAGACAGAAACTAACGTACTTCCTTCTTTTATGACTCTCTACACGCTAATGTTGAAAACATTCAAAGTATTGCCACAGATTGAGAGTTCTGCTCTACACCACCTATAGCCCATTTAGATTGCAAATTAAGTTTCCTAACTTAAACAAATTAGCTTCCTAACTTAGTTTTTAATCTAGACACAAACTAACATACTTCCTTCTCCTATGATTCAATTCTGCATGTGCTAATGGTGAATGCATGCGGAAGTTTTTCTATGTGTGTGAAAATTTTTAATTCAGATCATTTCTGAAAATTAGTATATATTTTTCTGAGATCTTGTCTTGTTTAAGAAAATTTTATTTTTACGTATGCATTTGTAGAATTAAACAATATTTATGAATTTTTTTGCTCCTTAGAAATCTGTATTGGCTTGACGAGGGTGGATTTTCTGGTGTCAGTGCTAAATTAGCTGTTGTCAGGATGGATGGAAATAATTCACGTATAATTCTTAAAGATGGCTTGAATAATTTAGAATCTCTCACTATTGATTTGTTTCATAAACGATTGTATTGGAGTCAGCGATCTGATTCAGCAAAAGTAAGTAAATTTTAAACTTGTTTTTAAGTTAATAATTAACGTATTCCATTTTAGGTCATATATAATGTTTGCTGCATGAAATACCAGTGTTTATAAAATTTGTTTATGTTGAGTTTGAAAACTCTTTTATGAAATTGTATTATTTAAAAAAAATTTTTTTAATTTGAATTCATTTTTGTTAAAAATAATTTAAATTCAATTATTTAATAAATATGATGTTTAATGCTTTATTAAACTTTGAATTTTTGAGTAATTATAAATTTATGGTTTAAAAAATGTTTTTAATGTTAATGTTTTAAGAAATGTTACGTCATTCATTTGCAGTTAATTCACAATTAAACAATTTAAAAGAAAAAAATACATCAAAGTTAATGTATTTTTAAGTTGTATATTGCTTCTACTTTGATACTTATACATGATTTTTTTGATATTTATAAAAGTAAATCTTTCAAAAAGTATTAATTATATATTTATATATATTACAGGCACACACTTGTTTTTTTCTTTTGCAAACTAGGTTGAAACACATTTTATATATATAGAAGAAATGAAACAAAATTTTTTTAACTTCTACCTTGAAATTAAAATTTGAACCTCTGAAAGAGTATTAAATACAAAATCATAACTGAAATTAATCTGCTGCTTTAAGTTATTCAATAAATAATGACGAAATATATTAACAATAAATATTTCAGATGACACTGTATATTCTAGTTTTTTAATTTTTCTTAAATAATGTTGAATTGTTTGTGTGTGGAAGAAAGAATTAAGCACATATATAAAACTAAGGATATTCTGTCTCGTGAAAAAAAATTATCAGCCTACTTCAGTTTTTTTAACATAGTCCTCACAAATAAAATTTAACAATGTATTAAGAGAGCAATTTTTATTTCCGGTTTTTAGAAAATATTGTTTTTAAAAAAGAACAAAATTGAAATTGAATGAATTGATTTGAACAAAATAAAATTTTTCATTCAAACTTACACATTTTTTTAAATGTATTTTTCACTAATAAGCAATTAAAATCTTTTTTTAAATTCCAAACAATTAGTACTAGATTTTCTTCTACAAATAGACTTTTCAGGTTAAGTTTATAAATATTACATAAAGTAATTTTTTTTTTCAAGATTTACAGTATAACAACTGAAGGTAAAGATAAGAAAACTGTAGTATCATCTGGAATATCAAAGCCACTGGGTCTCAGTATATTCAACAACAAACTTTATTACCTTGATCCTATCTTTGAAAAAATTTCAAGAGTGGATTTACCAGATGGCACAAATAGCTCTGATCTGGAAACAAATGCTGCTAATCTCATCAGTATGAAAGTATATGGCAAAAGACCTTGTAAGTAATTTCTATGAGAATATTTATATTGTATTGAAATATTATTGGAAAAAAAGTAATTTAACACTTTATTTTTGAAATATTGTTTAAGTAACGCATTTTCTTTTTATTCATTTTATTCAGTCTATTGTTTTACTTACATTTCTTTCAATGGAATACTTTTATCAAGCATCTTCTTTTTAATAAATTTATGATTTCTTAAATTCCTAACTTTTTCAGAAGTTGTGAAAATTTGCTGATAGCATAATAGAATAATAATAGGTTTCGTGTTATGTCTAATCTTATAACATAAAAGTAACTCTAATTCTACATGCTTGTTCAAATACTACAGATCAAATCAACTCAAATGTTTAATATCTTTTTTAATCTCTGAACTGTTTATTTTGAGTTTAGTGTGTTTAACTTGGACACCAGAAATACATATTTTTTAACTTGGTGTTATTCATCATTCAGTCTAGTTCTACTTCAATATCATTAGTCTAGTTCTACAAAGTTAATGAAATGTAGCAACATAATTTCCCAAATCAAACTGTTTTCTTTAATTTTTACCAGATCATATGGTAATCTTTGCTGGTCATTTATATTCATTTTTTGGACACAAGTGAAACAAATAATTGTCCTTTCAAGTCATGAAATGCAGGTGCATTTAAAGTGTTTTGTGGTAGTCCCATAAGAGAATAACTAGACTGGTTAGGATGTTAAGTGAGAATACAGTGTGAGAGATCATGACTATTGTCTAAATTATGGCAGTTAAGCAAAAGTGTTTACTAAGACCTATGTAACACAATGTAAAAATGTGTGTCATTGTAAAGTATGAGAGAAAAAGCATAATGTGGAAGTAGTAATTAAAATGTGGTTCTGAGTTATTTCAATGCTTTAGAGACTTAAAAGAAGATGTCAAAAATAATAAAAGTATTTTTATTTATAATGAAAAAAAAAAACTTTTGAACCAGTTATGTCAAGTTATGTTTTTAGAACAAGTTATGTCAAAAATTTATAATAGCTAATAGCAATGAATTATAATGCCAGTAAAATTACTTCATATCTTTTGTTTCCTTGTTTTATGGAACCACTCAACATATTCTTTGAATGCATCTTGTACATTTAGTCTATAAATATAAGTGTTATATGTTTTATCTACCTAACTTTCCATATAATGTTTATTTTCTCTACTTAGCTTCTAATAATCATCAGTGTCATAAAAATAACGGAGAGTGCCAACAACTCTGCATACCTTTGGCTAATAATGAACGGAAGTGTATGTGCGGTACAGGTTTTCAATCTGATGGAGAAACTGGCTGTAGAGCGTACCAGTCATTTGCAATTGTATCAGAGTTAGAGAAAGCGAGAGGATTTAGTCTTGAAGATCACAGTGAAGCGATGGCTCCCATATCTGGTTCAGGTAATTCATGTACATTGGATTTTAATATTTTAAAGGTATTTTAAAAAGATTTTCTTCTCAATTAGAAAAAATGTGTACTTGCTGCTGGTCTTTTGCTATTTATGCTGGCTTTGTACAGTTTATGCAAGCTATAAGAAGTAATAATTTTAAATATGTTCGCCTGCAAATATGAGCATTCTTTGTGTGTGTGGGAATTCTGCCTGATATCATAATTTTCTCCTCTCTTTTTTACTTTTTTTACTCTGATTTTACAAAAAAAAATTGTACTATTGAAAATTCAATGTGAAAAGTAATCATGGTGATATTATTATGGATGACTGCAGAAAATTAGTTTTAACAACTATATTAAAATTGTTATTTATTCATGCTGCAAGTGCAACTATGTGTTAGCACAAGATAAACTTAACATGCTAGAGCATTATCTGCTGCAAATTATGCTTTTTCTATGATTTTGATATAAATGATAATATTGCAATGAATTAAGGCAATGTATATAGATGTAAATTATAAAATTTTTAGAAAATTTTCCTGATTCTTATCATGGGCTATAATTGCTTACTTGCCCACTCACTTAAGCAGTTGGTGTAACATTACTTTCTGATTGTCTTAGAAAGAAATCCTTGAGTTCACAAATTATCTTCAAAGTCAGTATAATATGAAGGGAATTTTTTTCAATGCTTCTTTCTTGATAATTATCTCATTATATGATTTTCTTTTTTTTTAGTTGGATCATTTAAAATTTAATACAAAGAATTAGGCTTTTATTATTTTTATCATGTTTATGCAGTCTAAAAATTTGTTTCTTTAAAATGAGGTAAAAATCTTATACCTTAGCATGGAGCACAGATATATATCCTTTGACTTTGGAAATGAGACTTGTGATTGTCTAATATGACTTGAAGCTTTCATTTTTTGGTTGTATTATTAAAATATGAGCTAGAGACTTATTATAAATTAATCTTAGCACTTAATGCAGAAACAATATAAAATTATGTAACAAAAGTTCTGTTATTTTACAATATTTTCTATGTATTATAGGACACAATATTCTTCATCTGGATGTCCATTTTGCTGAAAGTCATGTTTACTGGGTTGAATTTAATCAAGGTGAAAAGAATGGAATCTATCGCATCAAACCAGATGGTACAGATATGAATCATGTTATTTCTGATGGAATTGGTAGCAATGGCATTCGAGGACTTGCAGTTGATTGGATAGCTGGTAAGTCAATCAAATAACTTTTTGTTATGACATTGTTTAGGAAATATTTTATATTATTTATGATTTATCTTTATTTAGTTCTTTAATATGATAATTACATTTTAACTAGGGCATCACTAAATTTCATAATCTGATTACTGTGCTGGCTAGGATCCTCAAATCTATGTCTGAGACAATTGTTATGCATGTGACCTAAAAAATGACAATGTAAAAGTATAAATTCCACATGGTGCATAGCGTTTTTAAAAAGTGCTTAAAGGTGCTTATTTTCGTTTTTAAAAGCCCTTAAACGTGCTTTTTTCATTGGTTGTTTTTAAAAAGTGCTTAATTTTTCCTTTTCCAAAATGAGATTTTTTTCTTTACCATGTCGATATTCGCCTCATATTATGTTGTTGTTCATTTACGTTGCACTAGAGCTGCACAATGGGCTATTGGCGACAGTCTGGGAAACATCCCTGAGGAAAATCCGAACACATGCCATGGCAATTTTGATCCTCTGCAGAGGGGATGGCACCCCCGCTTCGGTAGCCCGATGATCTGCATGCGAAGTCGAGCACTTTACGGTAGAACAGTTTAACGAGGACCAATACCGCACACCCTCGGTCCCTACAAAGACTGATCCAAGTGGTCACCCACCCGCACACTGACTGAAGCCAGTGATGCTTGACTTCGGTGATCTGCTGGGAACCGCATCTTAACTATCAGTCCACTGCGGGACCGCCGCGTGTATTATGAGCTGGGTTCAGTGAGATTATTGCACTCTCATGCTCATCTCTGCTGCATTTTGCAAGAAATTCTCAATTTCAGGCTTCATTTTCCATCCTCTGATATTGAACCGAAAAATCTTATGATCATTTTAAAATGGCTAATATAATCAGGAAAAGAGTCAGAAACTAGTTATTTTATCATGATCATGTAAAGTCTTTGAAAAGTATTATTTGTTAATGTATATAGTGCTTAAAAATATTTTTGAGTGCTTTAAAAGTACTTAAAAGGTGCTTATTTTTTGTTGAGAAATTTGGCTATGCACCCTGTTCTATTTATAAATTCTTCTAAAAATTAAAGATACCCTGCCCCGCAGAATAATCTACAATACGTTCTTAGGTACATAAAGTTTGGGGTTTCCCAGTTGTAGAGTTTGTGTATTATGTAGTTAAATTTGCATAAATTCTATAATTTTTCAGCTTTCTTATTTCATTTCTTTTATTTTAGAAAACTTATATTTTACAAATGTATTTCCTCATGAAACCTACATTGAAGTATCCTGGTTGGATGGATCTAAAAGGATGGTTCTTCTAAAAACTACTACTGATTCACCCAGAGAATTGGCCGTGAATCCCATCAAACGTTATTTATATTGGATTGATTACGGACATTATCCTAAAATCGAGCGAGCCCTATTAGATGGTACACATCGAGAAGCCATTGTGGTCAATCAAATAAGTAGCCCCCGTGACCTGACTATTGATATTGAAACCCATGATGTCTATTGGGTGGACTCTAAAGAAGATGCTGTACAAGTAAGAAATTCATGATACAAAAAATGGAAATTTGTTTTATGTGAATATTTTATAGTTAATGTTAAAATAAAATGTATATTTTGCAGAGAGTCAAGTTTGATGGATCTCAAAGAGTGTTTGTTTACAAGAACTATCCAAACCCTATGGGAGTTGCTATACATGTCTCTAAAGTGTACTGGGTTGATCGTAATCTCCGTACCATATACAGAGCTGATAAAAATCCCAAAAATGATACAAAAGTGGAATCTATAAGAGCAGATATGGACACTTTACGAGATATTGTTATCTATGATATTAAAAATCAACCTACAGGTAGGTTATTTTTTAAATTTTAATTCCATACATCTAAAATGTTTCAAAGTATTTCAATATATCTGTTTATTTTGTATATTTATAATCAGTAAAATTAATCTTATTTTAATATATTAATTATGTTACATTTTAGCTGATTCTCCATGCAGCAAACATAGCTCTGGTAGGTGTGAACAACTTTGTTTTGCCATGCCTGAAACTGCAAATCAAACTTTCAAATGTGCATGTGCAAGTGGCATGCTCGGATCGGATGGCAGAACATGTGGTGGTGAGTAGCACAAGACATGTTCTATCTGTAGTTTTTAAAACTGAGTATGTAATGCATGAATAATAAAAAATTGGATTATGGATATGTATGGTAGATTGTCGATTTGATAACATTTTTATTCAAAGTTATTTTTCTTTTGACAGTGCTGATCTGACAAATACAATTTTATTTAATTATGCTAGCAAAATCTGTATTGAAATCTGTTGCTCAGATTTTACTTATAACCAATCTCAATTGACCTCATTACTTTATTGTAAAAATTTTATGATTCAAATATTGGCTAAATATTGTAATCTATAAAAAATTTAAATTATTTGTAATTGTTGTATAAAAATTTAGGATTCAAATTCTTAAGACATTTATTCTTCTTTATTTTTTTTCTTGTTAACTTGTATATGTTGCATTATTACCATGATTTTTTTTTTCTTGTCTTCATTACTATTATCTAGTTTTAATGCAAATAAATTCAAATTTCCCAAAATGGAACTCATTAAAGTGATGTTAAAACACATAACATAGGATTGATTTTAATTAGTGAGAAATATTGTAAAAGAGTTTTTTTTTTGTTGTTGTTTGTTAATATGCATAAATTATAATGTATTGGTGATACATATTTATTAAATTGATGTTGTTACCTTACAGATTTGAAAGAATATATTGTATTTACTACCAGACGAGAAATAAGAAGTTTGCATTTAGATCCTAAGGTTACCAGTGTTCCATTCCCCACAAAAACAAATTTGTCTAATGTGGTTGGACTGGATTTTGATTATAAGGACAAAAAAATATTTTTTACACGTAAGTTTAAAAATAATCACATAATCACATAAATTTTATTAAAAGGGTTTCTATTAAAAATGAAAAAAAAAAAAAACAGTCTATCTGAGCTATGTCAAGTTATTCAAAAACAAGCATTGGTGTACAATATCTATCTAATCTGTTTCAATACTGCTACAATTTATCATCTCCAAAACAGAGACTTTTCAAGAACATTGTACTAGATTTGTTCCAATAATTAGATTATATTTGAAATAGTGGAGAATTTGTTCTGTTCCATAAGTTTTTGAAAAAGGTAGAAAAACTAATAATTTTGGATTATATTTTTTAGTTATTTTTTTAACAAAATCTCTTTTTCTTTTTATTTCTTGGTGTATTTTCTCTGGTATGGCTAAAAATTTCCCCCATTGTCTTAAGCCATCTAGTAGGATTTTAGGAATTTCAAAATTAGCATTTACTTATATGATAGCCTCTTTTCTTGATGCAAATTGAGCCATTTTTTCTAACTTATTCTCAAATTCATTAAAATATCACTTAATGTAGTCTACCATTAAGCTCTACTGTCATGTTAAGCTCTACTAAAAATTTACTCTTTTTTTCTTTTTGATGTTGTAGAAATACGTCCTGATGGCAGCATATCGTGGGCTAATATGGACCAAATGGATAAAGTTAATGTTATTCTAAACAAAGGAATAAATCCAGAAGGTATTGCTTATGATTGGACTCGACAAAAAATATATTGGACCGATTCAGGGAACCGAAGCATATATGCTATGAACATGGATTCTTCTAATATTGTTATGATTACTAGAGTTGAAAGACCTCGTGCTCTTGTTCTAGATCCATGCCAAGGGTAAGAGTTATTAAGGATTTCGTTCAGCATGTCTTTTCTCTCCTTTAAAATTAGAATGATTAATCTTGTATTTGGGAAGTAAATTTGTTTTGAAAATAGTAAATAGTTTAATGTAGTGGTTTGTTAAAAAAAATTTCTTTTGAGAATTTTGTTTTTTAATTTGACCATAAATCTTTTTTGTATGATAAACATCTTTTCTCAGTACGCTTATAGAATTTTCAACTATTAAATATTAATATTGTCAAAAACACAATTATACAGCAAATTGTTTAGACAAAATATTTATATGGAATTATCTTTTTTTTATACATGTTATAAAATTAGAAAAATTGTTTTATATTATTTTCCTATCTCTAGTCTCTATGAAATAACTTAATATCTATATCCAGTTCAGATTACTCTTATTAAAGATTATAATAAATAAACCCCATATAATTATGTCACAATGCAGAGTTTTGCTATTTCCTCTATTATAAAAATTTCTACACGTGTTTGAAGGTTAATCGATTTAAATAAATTTGGGTAAAGTTAGTTATCTTTTAGTTGGAATACTTAATTTATTTCATGAGAATGTTTTTAAAAACGTGCAATGAACGATGAAACGAAAGTTGTTCTACTGTAACTTGTTTCTCCCAATGTTATTTGATAGAAAAAAAATATTTGCATTGTAGAAACAAAACAATTAAAGATGTTTGACTATAACATTTGGAAGGTTAAGGGAGCAAGAGAGAGTAATGTAGCATGTACTCTCCATTATAAGTTTTATCTCAAGATCTCTAAATTCTTTAATTTATTTATTTCTCTCTGAGCATTAATTGTAACTTTTTAAACTTCAAATTGGCTATTTTCATACCTGAATCTAATTTTTTTAGCGTTTAATATAAGTGACTGCATGAAAAAAAATTTTTAGAAAAATTTGGTTGACAAATCGTAAAAATTCTTAATTACCAATTCTTAAAAATAATAAAATAAAGTTTTAATAAGAATCAGCATAAAATAAAATGAAATGTCCAGAAAGTTATTGAAATTTAAGTACTTTTTAGTATTTTTTGCTAAACCCATAAATTTAAAATATGTTTAATTTTACAACTAATTTGTAGTTATTTATTTTTAACTTTGCATCTTTTATTTATTAGATATATGTATTACACAGACTGGGGTAGGTTTGGTAATACTGGCAAGATCTACAAAGCAACAATGGCGGGAAATAATAAAATAGCTATACATGAAACTAATTTGACACAACCAAGTGGACTTGCTCTTGACTATGATGAGCAGAAATTATACTGGACAGATGCTCTTAGGTAGTCTTTTTTTTATTATCTTTGAATGAAAAAAAATAGACTGTTTTTTAAAACCAATTATTTATAATTATTAAATTTAATATTGAATTAAGTATTGATAATTATTTTGCTTTCCTCTTCAGCTTATTTTTTTTTAAGTAACAAAAAAAATTATTTGGCTTGTAAAATTTTTCTATAATTTTTTAATGTGTTTTAAATTAGGGAGAAAATTGAACGATCAGATTTAGATGGACAAAATCGAGAAGTTTTAGTGTCGGCTACAATTTATCCTTTTGCTATCACTGTGTATGGAAAATACATTTATTGGACTGATTTACAATTGAGTAAGTAAAGTTTAGTCACTATTATTTAGTTAAACTAGTGTTTTTTAATGTAATTTAATCAGTATGAAATTGAAAAATAAACACTCTTATATTAAAGTTTTCATTTTTTGATAAACAACTATACAAAATTATAGTTACTTTAAGTTTCTTAACTATCTATATATGTATTGTAAAGATTATCTGTATGCTGATAGTCTTTTGATTAACCCAATCTGCATTGATTATGGTAAGGCATTACACGTCTTACTTGCTCAAACTAACAGTCAAAAGCACAAATTTTCTTTTTATCTTGAATGCTTTAACAAATATTGAACAGCGTTTTCTCAATGCTGCATTTGTATTGAAAAATGGTAAATTAAACATTTTATGTAGTGCAAAAGTCTGATCTGATTTCAATCAAACTTATTGAGGAATTATGCAGTTCTTAACTTTAAATCTGGGCTGCTTATATCTCTCATAAAATTTCTTCATTTAGTATCATCTATTATAATGATGATTGTAATATATTTTTCAAAATTATTTTTGAAATATTATTGTTTAAAATTTAAATTAATTGAATTGAAACTGATGAAATACATTAGTGTATTACATGAATTACACTAAGATTAAGACTTGCCTGACAGAAATTTTAGTCTTGAACTATTTTGTGTCATATTATATTTCCAGCAAAGCATTTTAAAAAGTCTAAAAATTACAATTAAACAGAGTGATCTTTTTTTAAAATTTAGTTTAGCTTTTCAAACTATTTAATTTTAGGACTATTTTATTTTATTACTTTTCATTTTAGGAGGTGTATATCGTGCTGAAAAACACACTGGTGCGGGAATGATTGAAATGATTAAAAGGCTTGAAGAATCTCCTCGTGATATACACATCTTTGCACCAGATCGACAGAAGTGTAAGGCTTATTTCCAGTATATGTATTTTATTTAACTATGTTTTTATATTAATCTAAGTTTACACTGGAGTTCTGAATTTTTTTTTGATAAAATTTAAGTTTTAAATTTTCAGTTTTGATAAAAATATTTACTTTTTAAAGGATAAGTCTTTCCAGTTGTTTTTTAATTGAAACTCATAATTTAGAAGAAAAAAAATCCAAATTTACAATTGGAAAACAATGATTATTCTTGTATTGGAAAAAAAATTATCAAACACAATTTCCTTTTTTTTTTAAATTTTGGTTATGTTACTCAAATTAAGATCTAGTTATTTTAAGTACTATTTATAAAAAAATGATTTAAATACTTGTTTAAAAATACATTAGATGAATCATTTTAAGACTTATCTCTTAAAGACTCTGTTGTATTATGAAACAGCCCCTATACCAAATAACATGCTCTTTAGAACTGTTGAGAGCTTTTTACTGTTAATTATTAAAACTGTTAGGTTGAGCGCATTCCATCTTCACCTTGCACTCTCTATATAAATTAATTATAAAAGTGATGCTAAATGTCATAGTGAAGATAAGCTATAGGTTTGAGAGAATTGTGTTTGCAATCTAATTTTTTAAAAATCACTTTTACTCCTCACACATCACTTTATCATGGCATAGAACCTAGTCCAAATTTTCAAGGCTTAATCTTTTAAGGGCTGTGGTAAGAATTTCAATTAATTTTGACCACAGCTCATTACCAGTTGTGTGAGCAACACCTTAACTATGATGATACATTGTTTAGGTGTATAAAATTCAAAAATTTTCATTGGTTGCAAATAATTTCAATCTAAATAAAAAAAAATATCAAAATTTTTTTTTTGCATGTTTATTTTTTTTAAAAAATATTTAGGTTAAATTTTTTCAAATTTAAAGCACTCAAAAATGTGTCTTTTGTTTTAATTTTACTTAGTGAAAGATAGTCAAAGAATATCCTTAGATATTGTCAAAGGTCCTTTGAACTAAAATTCAAGACAGGATTATATTATCATGTGTTGTGTGATAAAGAAAATATATCGTCTTTTGTTCTTATTATTTCAGGTGATAGTGATCTGTGTAAAATAAATAATGGTGGTTGTGCACATTCCTGTCATCCAGCGCCTAATGGAACTATCGAGTGCTTGTGCGAAAAAGGTTTTAAGGTCGTTAACGAAGGGCGCATGTGTGCAAGTAAGTTAAATACAAATTACTTTGGAACAGCCTTAAACTTTCTTTTTAAATTATTTATATAACATTTTAGGCTAAGAATTACAAAAAATTTCTTGAATATCAATGGACACTTTTTTAAATGAATAAAAATAAAGTACATTAATTATTTTGAAATAAATAAATTTATTACAAATTTTGTTATTGACCCATTGGAGGCATTAAGAGTTATTTATCAAACTCTAATGTACATATAATTTAGTTTGTAATACTCTAGTTAAAATAATTATTTTGATTCCTTTCAATGTTTACAGATTTTAATTGCTAAATATTATTTTGATTTATTTTGACGAAGATTATTAATTGTTTGTGTTGTCTGGATCTTTCATTTTATATTTTTTTTAATTCATCCCTAAAATATCATTATTCTGATTCTTAATTTAGAAAAATATACAACAAAATTGTAATTGTACTAAAAATAAGCAAATATTTTTCTTTAATTTCAGTTTGAATTTAAAATAAGTGCAGGCTTTAAATACATGGATGGTACTTTGAGATTCTATTTGCATTAATTTTTTCCTATTTCTTCACAAAAATTCATCTATAATACATATTAATTATAACTTGTATTTGATTTTTCTATAGTTGATTTTATTTTGAAATTTAAAAATATGTTTTTATTATTTCGTTTTAGATAATCATTAATTGACATATCTTGTTTTTTATAAATACTTTTAGATGATAATATTACCTGCACTGATAATAAATATACTTGTGGAAATGGAAAATGCATACCTCGTCTTTGGGCTTGTGATGGTGATGATGATTGTGGTGATAATACAGATGAAGATAAAAATTTCTGTTGTATGTTTATTTATTTATTTTTTTTACCATTATTATTGGTCTATCTATTCTTTCAGAGTTTAAGAAAAAATATAAATTAGGAAGTCAATGTTTAGTTTATATTCCCAAAAATGTGTTAAATTTTTTAAAAAAATCAGACGATTATTGTAATCATTATGTAAATTAACTTTCTTATTTGCAAATTACTTTCTCAATTAGCTTCTTCTTTTTTTTAATAATAATTTGATTACCAGTTGTATGAAGAGAGGGGCAGTTTAAGAAGGCATCCAATTGGCAAATTAAACTTACAGGCACTAAAATTTAAAATGTATTACTATTTTAATCCTGAAATTAGTTTTTTAACAGGTAAAATATTCCACTGAGGTGAATTATTTTATCATGAATAAAATGTATTTTTAATATATATATATTGTAAATTAAATAAAGAAGTTATGAATCACAATAACTTAAATGTTCTTGTGAATATATGATATTTAAGAGAAGAAAAAATTAGGATTATTTTCCTGGAAATAATAAATTTTTTACTTTTGAGTAAATTTACATTTAATGGCATGAAGAGAAATTTAAAATATGGATATCGATTTTCCTGTCTAATTTTTTTCTAAAATAATAAATTGGCTTTTTTTTCTCTGCAATGTTAGTACTCCAGTTTTCAGGGACAACATAACTTCGAACCAAACCCCTAAAATGGTATTTGTTCTTTTAATATGCATTCATAGCTATCATTTACATATTTGTTAATTTTTTCTGATGAACGTAGTTGTTTGAAATTAAACTATACTCATATACTTTTTTAATTTAAATTCAGCATTGCACACTTGTAGTCCAGCAGAATTCAGATGTGGTGTGGGTCGATGTATATTCAAAACTTGGAGATGTGATCATGAAAATGATTGTGGTGACGGTACTGATGAATTGGATTGTAGTAAGTTTTTATAACTATCATAATTATTATTTTTAATGCATTCCAAGTATCATTTTTCTAATTTAAAAAAAACTTTGCATTATAAAAGAAAGTTTTAAAGAAATTTTGATACTTACAAAATTGTTTACTCTTTTATTTCAGCTTATCCACCCTGTGCTGATGGAGAGTTCACATGTGCCAACTTCCGTTGCATTCCACAGTCTCAACTCTGTAACGGAGTAAATGATTGTAAAGATAACAAAACTTCAGATGAGAGCTCAGAACTTTGTAAAAACAACAGAACCTGTCCCAGCAATCATATCAAGTGCAATACCACTAACATTTGTGTTGAGCCATACTGGCTATGTGATGGCGATAATGATTGTGGTGATAATTCTGATGAAAATCCAGCTTTGTGTGCTCAGCGAACTTGTCCACCAAATAGTTTCAGGTATGATACATTACATTTTCTGAATGTGTTATTTTTATTTTACTTACAATTTTAGATTTAATAAAGTCCTAATACAGAAGACTTTAAAAATGTGAACCTTGAAACATGAGGCTTTGTGTTTTATGAAATTTTGCATTCACATATCTTTAAGCTTTCCTTTTAAACAATACAATATTTTTAGAGCATTAGAATCAATAACAAATAAATTTATGAATTTTAGTTTGCTTAGCTTTTAAAACTGTAACCTCTTGGCAACAAATTTAATCAATAATGTAAAAAGTTAATAGCAATGTTTAGTTGCAGTTTATGGAAAATATTGGTTTGTAAAATTATGTTATATGGATCTTCTAATGTTTATGAGTAGGTAGTAAGTATTAAATAATAATAAATGTCATTTTCAAACACATTCTGAATCTTATATATTATTTAAAAAAAATATGTATTGTATTATGCAGGGTTGGTTTAAGAAATAAATTTGAATCCTAATTGTTACTCTAATTCTTTTTTCTGAAATAAGTATTGAATTCACTGCAAATTTATTTGAAAATTATTTAAATCAGCATTAGTTTTAGTTATGATTGTTAAGCTTGGATATAGGTTTTACGGGTCACAGGACAAAATTTTTTGTGAACCCTTACCTTAAACCATAAGTCTTTTATTTTTATATTTTATAGAATTCTTGTAGACTTTTTATTCAGAATTTTAATTTTCATATAGATTTAGATGAATTCTCCCCAATTTTTTTAAGAAATAAAATTAATTTAAAATCATTACAGTTTGTGCAAAGAAATTTGACTGAACAATTGTCCCTTTGTTCCGTCCTTGAGTAAATATTTGATTGTATTTTTATTTCCATTTAGTATTTTATAAAACAGGTAGTGTTTTTAAAATAAATGTAAAAAAATGTAAACACATTTCTGTGTGAAAAATTAATGTTCTTTTTCCAGATGGTTAATGTTATCGAATATTTGAGATATTTCACAAATACTATTGTTACTACATAGTTTTTTATTATAACATCTAACTACTATGCTTCAATAGATGTTCAAGCCATAGATGTGTTCCTGCAACTTGGTATTGTGATGGTGATGATGATTGTGGTGATGGAGCTGATGAACCTGAAGAATATTGCAAAAGTGAAAAGAAAACCTGCTTTGGGGATCTCTTCACGTGTGATAATGGCAACTGTGTTCCTAGAATTTATATTTGTGATGGTGATAATGATTGTCTTGATAATTCAGATGAAGATGAACGCCATCAATGTGGTAAGTTATTTAACTTCCCTTTTCAGTCGTTATTTTTCTTTTTGTTCCCCCCCCCACCTCATTTGTACATTTATTTTGTTGCCTCTTAAAAGTTAGCAACTTTCTCTTTACTTTTTTGTCTGTACGATGATATATGTAAATTTAACTTTTATTTTGTTCAGAAAGTTGTGATATCTTTTTATTATTAAACTCATTAATATTATATTTTATTTTGTTATTTTAAAAATCATATTTTCAGTTTTTTTCTTCTTTTTTTTGCATATTTGTTTTTGTTTATGTATTATCTCTCGTTTCTGGCACATTATTTCAATTTTTATTACATATTATTTTCTAAAATAAATAATCCCAAGAAACTGAAGAGGTAAGATACAGGGCCAGTCTGAAGCATAAGCCTAGTAAGCGGCTATGTAGGGCATCATGTAAGGGAGGCTCTGGAGTCAAGTAGGGCTAGATTTTTAAAAAAAAAAAAGACTTTGAAAAAATTTATTGATTCATTAAGTTTCAGTAATTTTTAAGTTTTAGTGATCAATCTTTTTTGGTAATGTATTAGGTGTAACGGAAATTAATATTGTTTTTGTTATATTAAATTGTACAATATATTTTAACTAGTTTTTTATTTTAATCAATGATGTAAATGTCCAATGTGTATACAATACATTTTAGTAATTTTGAATTTTTTGCAATATTTCGTTCATGTTTTATATTTTGCTATGTTAAAATATGAAACAAAACAAAATGTTATACATTATTATCCAATTTTTTCGATCATTATCAAATTAAATAATTTCAAAATACAAAAAGGTAAGATTTATAATTGTATGCAAACTATACTTGTTTTTCATTTGAGCATACCAGGCATAAATGATAAGTAGATAAAAATGTAAATATAATATAAAAGTCTAATATTTTGATTGCTCTTCTGAAATTGCTTAGGGTAGGAAATTTTTTTCTCGCTCCATCAAACTTGTGGACTGCCTTTTTTTTTAAATAATGAATAAAATTTATTTTACTTCGTTCATATTTATTATTATCCTTATTGTACCAAAAATATTTTTACTTACACTTGAAATCGGCATGGACCGGCTATGGTAAGATATTACTTGATAAATAACTTCATTCACTTGAAAAATATACATATTGGAAATAATAGTTGACATGTTTCAAGTGCTCAAAAATGGACGCTTATTTTTGAACAGTTAAAACATGTCAAATGTTGTTTCCAATCTGTATATCTTCAGCAAATGAATTTTTTTTCAAGTAATATTATGTTTCAGTGTAAATTTATTTATTATTATTTTTAAAGTTATAAACTCTATTTGTTATTTTCTTTTTCTTTTATAATATACATTGAATTTATTTTTCAGAAAATCAGCTTTGAATTATTTTTTATTTTTCCTATAAATTATAGTTTTTTTTCTCTCTGTATTATGAGTAAATTTTTCTTGCTGTTTTCAGAAAGTATAAGGTTTTTCAATTTATATGAAATTTAATTTATTTTCTTGTTCAGAAACCAGGAAGTGTGATCCCGAAAAAGAGTTTACCTGTGTGCAAAATAAACAGTGGGGCAGAGCTTCTTGCATACCAAAGCGATGGGTCTGTGATGGTGATCCTGATTGTGTTGATGGTGCAGATGAGAACAGCACTCTGCACAGTTGTGCCCCTCCAGAGCCTTGTGAGCCCAATCAATTCCAGTGTGATAATAGACGGTGCATCAATAAAGAGTGGATGTGTGATCATGACAATGATTGTGGTGATGGATCTGATGAACCAAAGAACTGCAGTAAGCTATTTATTGATCTTGTTTTCTTGTGAAAATATTATGATGTTTGACTTTTCATTTGCAAACCGGTATGTTTTAATCAATCGTCATGGATAACTTGTCATTATTATTGTAATGATAAGTTGTGCATTGTAATGACAAAATTGATTGTGTTCTTAAAAGCTCATTAGCTATACAGATCTTTGGATCTGAAATATTTAATTCTTCAATAAACTGTTTAAGTTGAAATTGTTAAGTAAGTTGAAATTATTTATATAACTTTGATTTCATTCTTTTGTGGCAAAGTTATGATAAAATATTAATTTATTTCTCTGCAAATTATAATATTAAACAATCAACTGTAGACTTGATGAAAGTGTTAAATATATTTTTTTAGATGTTTCCATGTTGAAGTTTTTTTTAAGTTGTTTTCATGTTAAGTTGTACTAGTTTTACAAAATTCCTAAATTTGTCTTCATGTACCAAAAAAAGCAGTTAAGTTTGTTAAAATATCAGTTTGTATTAAATGTTTATTTAAAGCGTAATTAAAAACCATAAATTTAATACAAATGGTATTCTGTTTTTACTTAACATGAAATAACAATTATGGTAATAATATTATATATATTAAAATAATATATATTTGTTATAAAAATTCTTCATACTTTTAATTCTTTCAACAGTATTGCGACTGCAATGTAATGTTGAATATCTTTAGGAAATTAATTAAAATCTGTCACTGTCCTCATTGAATAACTTATTATTAAACAATTACAAGATATGATGCATTACATATTTGTTTATTTCTTCTATTAGCTTTCCGAACTTGTAATGATGAGGAATTTACTTGTCGCAATGCCAAATGCATTCGTAAAATGTACCATTGTGATGGTGAAGACGACTGTGGAGATGGTAGCGATGAATTAGCAAAAGACTGTGCAACTGAAGCTCCAAAATGTGCCAAAAATGAATTCAAGTGCAAAAGTGGTCAGTGTATTCCTTTAGAACGAGTCTGCAATAAAGTAGTGGATTGTGATGACAGCTCAGATGAGCCAGCTCATTGCCATGTCGATGAATGTTCTAAAGTTGAAACAAATCAATGTGAGCATAAATGTGTGAATACTCTTACTGGATTTTACTGTGAATGCACTGAAGGCTATGAGCTTGCGAAGGATGGAAAAGCTTGCAAGGACATTGACGAATGTGTTGTTAAGCCAGAGGTGTGCTCTCAGTATTGCTTTAATACTCCTGGATCTTACTATTGTAAATGCAATGAAACGTATTATGAAAGAGAACTTGATGGCCGAACTTGTAAAAGGAAAGATAGTAAGTAAATCTAATTATAATATTAGTCATATTTTTTATTTTATCTTTGTTTCCCAAACATTACTGATGACTTAAAAAATTAGTTTAAGGAAACTGAACAGAAATATGCCTTATTCTGCAAAGAATATTATACTTGAAAAGTTTGTAAGTTAGCTATAAAACTTGTCTTGACTAGAAAAAGTATAAAACAATGTTTTTCGCTGTAAGATAGACCATTGCGCCTGACATATTTGCACAGGAATATTTAATTTTGCCTTAAGGTTGTAGCTACTAGTAGAGATTATTTGAATATGTCATTTTAATTTTTCTCAGAAGCACCATTTATTAAGAAATTTTGAAATTTGTTCAGAATAAATAACTAATTTTCAAAGCAGGTTATGTGGATCTATACATTTCTCTCTTCTTTCTTTGGTTGATTTTTTAAAAAAATTTCTTTAACTGATTCAGAGTTAAAGACTAATAAGTACAATAGAGGAATAATCAAAATATTTCTTTAATTGTAATTGTTTACTCAATTGAGCATTTCTCTTTAATTGATATTTTAGTTATTGGGGCAGATGATATATTTCGTTATTTATATGTTAATTTTTTTACTTTCTTACAGATAAAGAACCATGGCTTATATTTACTAATAGATATTATCTGAGAAACATGAGTATTGATGGTAATCAATACAATCTTATCAAAATGGATTTAAGAAATGTAGTGGCTTTAGATTTTGATTTCCACAAAAGTCAGCTTTATTTCTGTGATGTAGGGAACAAGACAATTAGCCGTATTTCTATAGATGGCACTGGAGAAGAGACACTAATACGCCATGATACTCAAGGATTAGAAGGATTAGCTGTTGACTGGATTGGAAGGTAGGTCTCATTATTTTGTTCATTTTTATCATTTCTTTTATTTTTATTAGTTACTTGTAAAATCTTTTAAGAAGTTATTTCTACTTGAAGACAAATCTAGGAAGCAAAGTATTTTGCATGTTATACAGAACAGGTCAAAACCAGCAACTATCTTTAACCCTAGATAACTAATGGTTCATCAAATCGTTCATTTTTTTGCTGGAGAATTAATAATTTAAATGTTTATCTTAAGCTGTGCTCATTTTTTAACACATGAAGGAAATACAAAAAATAAACTTTTCAATGCGTTCTAAGTTTATAGTCTATAAGTTAAACTGGTATTTACAAAGTAAAGCTAATATAAGTTTATTTAGGGTTGAAATAGCCAATTTTCAGTCAATAATTTTTCATTAAAACTAGTTGATATTAAGGCTAGAATAAAGTGACCACATTTTCACTAAGACAAAGCGGGACAAATGGGATGAAATGAGAATTACAATTTAGTCAAACTTTCAACACGCACAATATATATATAAAAATACGAATCAAATGTTCGTTAAGTTTCGTAAAAACGTTATTGATGCATCTTCTAGCTTTTCCACCAAAATTTACGTTAGTGTTATCAGCACAATGGGCAATAATTTTATTGCTTAAATTATTCTTTTTTAAAATAGTACTTAATAAATCAAAAATTATTTGTGAAGTTTCATCAGGCAATGAAACAAAATCTAATATTCTAATTTTAATTCCTGTTTCTGGATCAAAAAATCTAACACCTGTGGGAAATAATTTTAAATCTTTGTGGTTGGAAGCTCAGAATATATGGATATAAATGCGCATTTTTCTAATTCTTTCTGCAATTGTGAAAACGAATATGGTGAAAAAACATTACAAATAATTGCTTCGGTTTTTGTCCTTGCACATGCATATTTTTTGTCGTATAATGTTTTGATCACTTGCGACGTAGAATCCATTGATCT